CCACGTTTTTCATTTTCAATTTCATAGATTGTTTATAATGACTTTTGCTAAAATTTCAAAATCAAAAGTTATCAAAACAAATTCTATGGGACTGAGAAGTATTATTTTCTACTTTTTAGTCCATTTATAAAAGCGTTGTATATTTAAAAAGTTTTTTTTAATTATTATTTTTCTACTTTTTAGTTCTGTCTGAATAAAATTTTGCAATAGATATTAAAATAATTCAACGATATTAATAGAAAGGTGCACACACATGCATTTACATATGTATGTACATACAAACGAGCACCAATTAATTTTATTTAAAGAAATGGCGTGTCGTCTATTTCCGCTGTAGCAAACGTAGTACATAGGGCGACATCTAGATGTCATCTACCTCGCCCTATTCACTACAGATGTCGCCCTATGCACTATGCTTTTTTATAGGAGCTTTTCAAAGCAAAGGTTTTATGGTGTCGGACACACAACATTGAAAGTTTCTGGATCCACAACATTGAAAGTTTCTGGACGCACAACATTGCAAGTTGATAAAAGCGTTGTAATAAAATAAGCAACACTCTGCGAATGCTGTGAGGTTTTCCTTTCATAACCCCACTTTCTTGATTAAAAACAGACCTTATTTCCTTCTAGGGTCAAAAATTATACTTTTAAATGATTTCCCTAACTTTCACTATAATAATAAGGTTCGTACTCCGAAAATTCATACTCCGATTCTGAGAAAATATTACAACTGGTTAAAAAGTAATATTTTCCAATAGATCTTTACATATCGGGTGTTCAAAAAGTACACGAACACCCTCTATTCCAGAAAGCACTCATCAGAGAACAAAGGGCGAGGGCAAGGATCTAAGAATTTCGTGCTCGCCATCTGTAGGTGATCTCTGATTTGACCTTGACTTTGACATTGAACGTCATTGCCAGTTTCAAATGGAAACCCCAATTTTTTATTTCTGATTCGAAAAGAGCAGAAAATGTTACGTCCTACGTCNCTCGCCATCTGTAGGTGATCTCTGATTTGACCTTGACTTTGACATTGAACGTCATTGCCAGTTTCAAATGGAAACCCCAATTTTTTATTTCTGATTCGAAAAGAGCAGAAAATGTTACGTCCTAATATGGTCTTGACTATGACCTTGAAGGTCATTTTAAGGTCAAATAAAAGTATTTCGATATTCCTTATTTTCATGGAAATTGCTTTATCCTTCGAACAACTGGAAAAAGGGGAACACTTTTACCTGAATATATGACCTTGGCCATACTACGATCCTTCGTATATACTTACATGTAAACCTGTAGATGCTGCGACCATGACCCTGAAGATCATTTCAAGGCCTAGTCGATTATACTTTTTGAACACCCGGTAAACATGTATGATGAAACTGATACTCAGTGAATATTTTGGCGAAAAAAGTGAATAGAATAGTTTAGCACTATGAATCACAGTTGATTTCGGCCATTATATCAAGTCTGCTGAATGACAGATGATGCGAAACTACATCGATTTTTCCGTCTCTCCTGAACAATTTACAAAAATGAACTTGGCAGCTTTTCACGTTTAGGTAATGATATTACATTGAAGAAGAAAACAAACTTAGCAAAGAGCGTACACGCGTTGTAAAAATAAGCTTTCAATAGCAATAACGTGCTGTTAGAAATAGGGTCATTTTTGACCCAAAAAAGTAATATGTACTTATGTACATCAATAAAATAATATAAAAACTCTAAATTATGTATAAGGGCTGAAATCAACTGTGATTCACAGTGTTGAGCAACTATATTTAAAGACATTTTCTTTTTATTGTGAACTTATTATATTATTTATTATAAACGAAAAAATAGTATCAAATATTCATTTTTAAGACCAATTCATTTTTAATCAGAAGCAAACCGGTCTTTGTTTTATTTTTAATTAAAATATGATAACGGACGTGAGAGATTTTTCCCCAAACAATGTTTTGACTAGTAATACATATATAATTAAATTTTGTATTTAATTTTTTTAGTTCTCCACTGTTACGCGTTTTCATAGCCCTTTTTCGCCATCTGAATACGAAATTGAAAACTATAAAGCCTTTTGAACCCATTTACTTTCATTTTCGGTTTAAATTTTTGTGGAAATACCCATATGTCACTATGTTATTATGTGAACGATGTACAAACAAGCGCCTATCGATATGTTTACACAGTAAAAAGTTCACAAAAGGACAGCTTTGTAAAAATCAGGACATTACGCGGGAAAATAAAAATCTGTCAGGACACTTTAATTCGACACTGAAATCAGGACAAGTCCTGATAGAACAGGACGTCTGGTTACCCTATATAAAAGCCAGTGCTGAAAAACGTTGAAAAAAGTTTACATGATTATTGCAGCTTTGGGCTAAGTATATGACGCAGGAACTATTTCTAAACTGTTGATATTTTGCATTTTTTTAGCTTTTATGATATATTTTAAAAACGTATTTTTATTTTTCATTAAAATATGCTCTACATATACATATAAATAATACAAAGATTTATTTTTTCAGTGGATGACGCTTCCGGCCATTATACATCTGGTTTCTTCTATGGGAACAACTATTGGTTGGGTTCACTATCGCTATGTGAATCCATTTACCACGAAGGTGACGATGACAGCGTTAATTCAAGGACCGCTAAGAATTCAGGTTTACCGTTTGCAAAAGCACATACGCAAATCTATACAACGGTCTACAATGAAAATCCAACATTTATCCCTGGGTTCTTTGTGATAAAGATCTTCTTGAATGAAACCTTTCCCACATTTTTGGTAAATAAAAATATACGTATGAATATACATACATTAGACTACGTTAAAGTAATCCTGCAATGCGACCGGTCCCCTCCTATAATCCCCCCTCTCTACTGTAATTCTAAGTGGTCTCGCAAGAAAATTAGTTACATATTCTTTTGAGGTGAATATGAAAAATTAATTAGGATCAATCAAAACGGCCGAAACTGTAATAATAGATATGTACATAGACTACATGCCATTTAAGTATTATTATGCAGGCTCAGATTTTTTAAATTCAGAAATTATCTTTTTTAATCGCCTGCATAACACTTAAATGGCGTCTACTCAATGTATTCTTACAGTTTCGGACGTTTTGATTGTTCCTAGAAAATTACATTCACCTCAAAAGAGAATAACTCATTTTCTTACGTGTTATTCCTATAAGAAAATAAAATCTCGATGCGCGACCTCTAAGAATTATCGTGCGGAGGGGGTCTAGATTAATAATAATTGATTCAATCGGTCGGAAGTTTTTAAAATATTATTTTGTTTGCTACTTGATATCTAGAGCATCCGTAAAATCTCACGTCGATACATCATTTTTCGATAGTGTTTCAAGTTGCCGATATGGGCAAATCTTTGTTCTTTAGCTTTATTTTCATTGCTATAAACTATATCAAGCTGGTTGCTTTTGGATATAATTCATAGACGTATACTTGAAGCCTGAAAAAAAATTTTAATCAAGTTGTACTTTGAAATCAAAAAAGCGATCAAAGTTTTCCATGTATTTTATATGGGAAAAACCACTTTTCGTATAAACGGTATGGAATTCTTAAAAATCAACATTTTTCGATCTGAAAACTGTGGTTCTCTTCAAACAATACTCAATTGTTTTTGGTATTATTATTGGGAATCTCCTGAAGAGAAACAAAGTTTTCCGATAAAAATTATTTCCGATCAAATTATTGATTTACTATTTCTACGAAAAGTCGTTTTTCCCCATATAAAATACATGGAAAGCTTTGAGCGCATTGAGCGACCTCTAAATATTTGTTGATGTCAAAATAAAAAAATAAGGGCATATTTTTTTCGGACCACCCTAGTGTGCACACTAAATTCTAGGTCTTGTATAGAAAAGTAAAAACCCAGCAAACATTTGGAGTCACAAAAAGGTCACTTAATTTTATTATTCGCATTATACCTTTACGGAAGACTTTTTTGTGCAAACGAAGAAAATCAAGAAATCTCAACCAACCATCGAGGGGGCGCCCTTCCGCACCTGCCGTCCGTATCAACATATGAAATTGCTGTTGATAGAGACACCGTCATGCGGTGTTGAGTTTTCGTTAAAGGCCAGTATGCAGCCCTCAAAAAAATTATAAAAAAAAATTGACATTATTTCGTGCGTGTCCGAGGAATTTTGAAATCTGATACTTCACCAGCCTGTTGCCTCACTCTTTCCTCAAGAAATAAAGGAACGGGCATATATATCTGTTGCAAGCATGGGTTGCCTTGTGCACTTTTTCACAAAAAACTTTAGAAAACCGTAGTAGAAGGCATACCAAATTTCTTAAGAACTGCGTACTGCCTCAAGAAAATTTTACACAAGGAAATTTCCTAGCCATTTCTTGTACGTCATTTTATATGGAGTTTTTGCTTTTCTTGAGAGCTGCATACTGGCTTTAACACAAGAATCCCATAAGATAGTAGGTCGTGGCAGCTGACACGGTCTACGGTTTTACGTCGGTTGCTGGTTGAGCTATAACTGGCACCAACAAATTCAGCATCTCTGAAAACTAAAATAATTATCAAATATGAGCCTAGAAGGACACTACCACAAACAAGCACGAGCTAAAAGTGGGCATTTCCCAGCGGGAAATTTATCTAACTATAAGTTAACTTGGAGTTGATTGGGAAGGAACTAAAGGTCACAATTATCTGTATAGTTTCTTTGAGGAAAGCTAACTACACTTACGTCCTTTTTTATGAGATTTTTTTATGCGGGTTTTCAAACCATTTTTTCGCTGTAGCGATTTTGCTTTTTTGAAAGTTGTTATTACTTTTTTCAGCAAGTAAAAGACAATGGGCGCGTTCATAAGTGGTAGCTGTTGGGTAACCGTTGGCTGTTTGTCTTAGAAACGCACAGTTGAGTAGTTACGCTCAGCCCAACAGTTGGCAACTTTCCGCCATTTTTTCCAGCGGAAAATGTTTACGCTCCCTGAACTCAACGTGTTGGGCTTAGCCTAAACAGCTGATCGAAAAGACTTACGCCGCTTATATTAAATTTAACGCCGCTTTGTTAGGTGGCAGTTGCAAACAAATTTATTATATTTTATATTACTGACGTGATAAAGTAACTAAAATATTTCATAATAATACTACGTTTCTAAATATCTGTTTTTAAGATGTTTGCTATATAATTTTACACTGTTTAATTCATTGTAACATTGAACGATTTTTTCGACACGGCGGCCGCTCAGCGTTGAATTCTAAATAGTATCGGCACAACTATCTCTATTTGTTGCAATTTCATTTGCAGATGAGCTAAACAGCTACGTCTTATGAACGTGACCAATGCTTCTGATAATTAATTTGTCCTTGAATTCTTATATAATTCATGTATTTATTGTGGTACTTTTCTTTTGTTTTTGGTTAAGATACAGATAAAATTTTATTTTTGATGTGTATACATCTTTGGTTTCGGTAGGGGTAAAATTTGCGAAGCTGTAACGCATATCCCAGCACAAAATTTCGGCATATGCATAGTAAGAGGAAATGCGCTACAATTGATTATTACTTCCGATTATTTAAACTCCGCACATGCATACGGCTTTGTACCTATGTATGTACATAAATATGTATGGACTCATTTGTTGCAACTGGGCATGAATCACGTGACTTTGAAACGATAGTCGTTCAAACGATACTGACAAAACGATGTTGTCCAAACACTGATTAATGCATTTGTGTTGCTGTTACGTGTTACTGTTACTGTTACTGTTACGTGAACCAAAACTGGAATCGAGTTGACGATATCGCACAAACGATCAAACAATTTTTGATTTTTATGCATCAAAAATCTCATTCTTACGATTGCGTTTAAAAGATTTTTAAATATTTTTATGCAGATTTTTTAAGCTTAATCTGTTTTGTCATCTGAGGGGACTTTTTTCAAAAAGTTCTTTAAGAAACTATTTTTATTCATAAAAAACTCCACTTTCGGAGGTATTTTCAAATCGGTCCAGCTCGCTTAAATCTTAATATTTTTCAGAAATATTTTGGTGGACGTCTTAAAATATAATAAATTTTGTAATCCCGGCGAAAACCCGCCAGTTTTTTTGGTTATGCAGTCTAATGTATATGTAAGTAAAAATTTTAGCTACCATTTTTAGCCACAACGACTTTTTAGCCCTTTTTTTATAGGAATGTGGCTACCACTAAAAATGATTCGCGGCAACACTGCTTACCGTTGATTTTTGGCAATTTTTTGTTCGCGCATATTATTCCATACAAAGTATGCTAAAATGTCTATTCCCTATTTATATTTTCGCCATTGTATTAACAGCATTTTTATAATTTCACTAAATTCAAGTATGAATCGTTTCCGTATAAAAAAAAAAACTTAACAAAAAGTTATAAAAACCTTAAAAAATTGTTGACAAGAATGATGACAACAATATAGCGAGAGTACCAGTTTGACAAAATAAAACATAACCAAAGTTCATAGAAAATAAGGATGCTGGTTATGTTTGTGGCTCCCCTATATGTATTCTATGTTCTTTGTGATAACGAGAGTGCTGCCATATTTGTATGAAAAACTGTTCTTGGGCCAGAGTACAGGAAGACTCTTGTTAAATTAAAAATTAAAACACTGAAAATCGGGACATAATCGGTACAAATAGGAAAAATCGGGACACTTATACGTCCCGACTTTTAAAAAATATTCAGCGGGATAATGTTCTCAAAACCGGTACTGTCCCGCCAAAATCGGTACGAATGGTCACCGTATATATAGTGTAATATTCGAAAACACAAAGTTTTGATTTTTTTGCCGCTGTCATTAGTAGCGCGTTTAACCAAATGTAAGAGTAACAATCGTGGTACAAAGCTCAATAAAAAATATTAAAAATAAAATTTTAATAAGCCACAATAATATTGACAAATACATAGTTTAGGAAGAGCCTGCCTGAAACTATACAAAAAAGCAAATAAGCAAATGGATGTATAGAATTGACAACAACAACCACGCTGTCGAGTTTAAATAGCGGCAAATCAGCTGCACTTGATAGTAGTTGGTTGAATAAGGAAAATGAATTAGCAACAAGAGTTTACGGGATGTACATAGCTCAGTGGTTAACGCTTCTGACTTTGAACATCGAATTCGCAGGTTCGATCCCTGCTGAAGTCTAGAAAAAGAAGTCTGATGAGGAGATGTGGTGATCTCCGAAATAGTGCTATAACTTCTACCGCTTAGACTTTGTTGCTTTTTCAATTTTTCCTAATAAACAATCGTGGTACAAAGCTCAATAACAAATATTAAAAATACAATTTTAATAAGCCACAATAACATTGACAAATAAAAGTAATGCGTTTAGTGTTAGATTAGGTTGAAAAAATAAAGTTATAATTTTTTCGTTATTTTCAAATTTTTTAGCCATTTTTTTAAATACTTTCATACCATAATTTTTCTAAGTGTAACTAAAAACCCCATTTTGTAATAGAAGATACTATTTTTTAATTAAGAAAGTATTTTTCTCGATAAAAATGTTAATTTTTCTCACAAAACATTTCAAATAAACGCTTTTTATCACGATAATGCTATCTTTTTTTAGCAAAAATAATGTAATGATATTTGTCACATCATCTAGCTTAACTTTAATAATGAAACTGGCAATAAATAATGGATTACTCAGATTAAAAACAGGAAAAATCTAGTACNCGCTTAGACTTTGTTGCTTTTTCAATTTTTCCTAATAAACAATCGTGGTACAAAGCTCAATAACAAATATTAAAAATACAATTTTAATAAGCCACAATAACATTGACAAATAAAAGTAATGCGTTTAGTGTTAGATTAGGTTGAAAAAATAAAGTTATAATTTTTTCGTTATTTTCAAATTTTTTAGCCATTTTTTTAAATACTTTCATACCATAATTTTTCTAAGTGTAACTAAAAACCCCATTTTGTAATAGAAGATACTATTTTTTAATTAAGAAAGTATTTTTCTCGATAAAAATGTTAATTTTTCTCACAAAACATTTCAAATAAACGCTTTTTATCACGATAATGCTATCTTTTTTTAGCAAAAATAATGTAATGATATTTGTCACATCATCTAGCTTAACTTAATAATGAAACTGGCAATAATGGATTACTCAGATTAAAAACAGGAAAAATCTAGTACGTTTCGATCAAAAATAAATTCCTCGATCTATAGGCTAAAAATCTTTTTGGGATTTCGCTACGGAAGGTGTAAGCTTTCATTTCCTTTTGGTTTTATCAAATACGGATACATGAACCTCAATTTTATATCACNAAATAATGGATTACTCAGATTAAAAACAGGAAAAATCTAGTACGTTTCGATCAAAAATAAATTCCTCGATCTATAGGCTAAAAATCTTTTTGGGATTTCGCTACGGAAGGTGTAAGCTTTCATTTCCTTTTGGTTTTATCAAATACGGATACATGAACCTCAATTTTATATCACAGTGGCGTTTTTATTTTTTCTCTCTGACGTCAGGATTTATTTTAAAGGACTTTGTTATTTCAGAGATATGAATAATTCCAAAAATTATTTAAAAAATCCAATGCAATGCAGAATAAAAAAATGTATACCAAATGCAAGAGGAAATTTCTTTAAAGCNTTTCATTTCCTTTTGGTTTTATCAAATACGGATACATGAACCTCAATTTTGTATCACAGTGCTATTATTATTATAATCAAAAATCTTCGAAATCTAAGAAACAAAATATGGACATATAGCCCATATTCATAGTCAAGAAAATATATATATGTATATCGCACATTTACTAGAAGACTAACACAACTCAAAAACTAACTTTATCAGGAGAAGCGTTTGCGGGTTTCAATTTACTAATAATATGCAGAAAAAAGATACTTATATATGTACATATTAGGGATATAAATTTTTCAGCTTTTCCGATCCCAGGATTTCCGGGATGTCATTAGCACAATCCCGAGATTTAGATATTCATTACTTTTCAACTACTTAAATCGAAAAAATTTTTCTATATTGTTTGAGAAGCTCTCCTACCATAATATAAATAATAAATAAATGGGTTAGAAACCTACTCTCTCNTTATTTCAGAGATATGAATAATTCCAAAAATTATTTAAAAAATCCAATGCAATGCAGAATAAAAAAATGTATACCAAATGCAAGAGGAAATTTCTTTAAAGCTTAAGAAACTTAAAATTTTTTGGATTCACAAGAACAAATAGGTAATTTTTTAAGCTGATAAAGTTAGAAGGACGAAATTCGAGGAATTTATCGAGTTTATATAGGTCCTTAGCAAATAATTTTTTCAAAAACAAATATTGCGAAATCTCAAGGACAAAAGTTTAAAAGGACATTTTCAATACTTACCAGTCTTTCTGCACCAAAAACTTGAATCTGTTTGAATTCTTCAGGATTTCCTCTTTAATACGCATATTTCTTCCCTAAGCACATTTATCTGAATTTTTTAATTCATTTTTGACCAATTGACGTCACAGTGAAAAACTAAGAACGCAATTTTGCTATATTTGGCCCATGGTTTCGTGAATATACTGATATTTGTGTTCAAAATTGACTATCGCGCGGTGTTATATGTATAATGAGCTAGACATTTATAAAAAAATATTAATTTTTAAATAAAAAAGCCAATACTGGTCAAGAAAAGGAGTTTCTATTATCGCCATCAAATTACAAATCCCGCAAATCCCGGGTTTATTTGCCAAGAATCCCGAAATTTTTGTGACCTTAAAAAGGCCGGGATCCCGGGATCCTGCACATATACATACATATTCTCTTCTCACGCGGTAACTAAGCAAGTTTTTAACAAAGAATTTTTATACATTATGAGGAATGATATAAGGTGTAATTCTGCGTCATAAGCTCAATAATTCCCTTTTTTGACTTGTGACAGTATTTTATTAAATGACCGATATGTACTCTTAGTTTACATACGGTTTCGAATTAATCTACATGTAGTACATGTTTACATTTATTTAACTTTTAGACTAGAACCATCTATGTTGGCGTTTGTATACCTTCCACCTGCTCTAATAACGACGTTCACACTATGGCGGAATTCACACAAATACCCTCGGCGACTCGGACTGTTAAAGTTTTGAATGTGCGCATGCCCAGCAACAAAAAGTTCAACCTATTCGGCGATCGAACATTTTGGATTTTAAGGTGAGATTTTTTATTAGTTTTTAGTTTCAAAGCATGTGTGTAATTAGAACTACGGCAGAGCTAAATCGGAGTAAAAGTATAAAATAAAGTTTCGTAGTTGATTTCTTATATATCGCGCGTTTTCTGGTAGAGTTTTTTAGTTAAGTACACAAACGGCTATGTTTTACTAAAAATTCGTTACGATATACACATGTATGTATGTATATATCTCAATTTTGTACAGAAGCCAAATCCACAATTTTTAGAAGTTTTTTTTGTCTGTCTGTATGTTTGTATGCGCACTACTCGAAAACGAATGCATCGAATGCAGTTTCCACCAATGCATTGCATGAGGCCTAACTTAAAATATATGAAAACAATAATTAGAGAGTTGCCACCGTTTTGAAAATTACAGTTTAAGTAAATTGCTAAGATAAAGCAAATATTGTAATATGGCTGTCAAAAGAAAGAGTTTAAGAAGAATTACAGTCGAAACTATTTTTGTGAAAGGTTGCCACCGGTTTGAAAATTTTAATTTGATTTAATTGATAATATAAATTAAATATTGCAATATGGGTATCAGACTAAAGAGGCTTAGAAAACTTCTTTTGGTTGTTTGTGTTTCCGACAGGGTAGGAGTATGATGTATTGTGGAACGATTTTCCGTCATACCTTGACAATCGGAAAATCGTTCCACAATACATCAGGCTTAGAAAAGTTTATTGCCAAAAGCATTTTTGAAGAGGGTTGCCACCTATTTGAAAAATTCTATCCAATTGTTAAATTGATAAAATAAATGAAATATTACAATACGGATATCAAACTAAAGAGGTTTAAGAAAGTTTATTATCGAAAATATTTTTGTAGCGGATTGCCACCTATTTGGAAATTTTTATTCAGTTAAAGGTAAGGTAGGTAAATACTGAATTAATACACCTTTGAAGAAAGTGCACGATATGTAGAATCGGGTTAAAGAGTGTAAATTTTAAATACCTTCGAAAATATATTGACTAACACATCTATACATAGTACAAACNCTTTGAAGAAAGTGCACGATATGTAGAATCGGGTTAAAGAGTGTAAATTTGAATTCCCGGTTTAAATACCTTCGAAAATATATTGACTAACACATCTATACATAGTACAAAGGAAAGTCGAGATACTTTGTACGCGGTAATCTCGAGCATCCGTGGTCGGCTAGTTTATTTATAAAAGGTAAAGTATGTTTCACAAATCGAAAATTTGTTTGAAAATCTCACTTCATAATGCTCTGCAAATCTATTTATTTTTTATGAATGAAGCCATAAGAGTTTTGTGAAGAAGTAACAACACAAAAATATGTTTAAGGCGTAGTGACCCCGCAAACATATTCTAAGGGTTCAAAATATATGAGTCCGAAAGGAGTCATAGGTAGGTAAGAAATAGGACTTTCAAAAACAAAAATTTTTTTACTCTTATATGAATCTTATATATTATATATATGATCCAAGTTATGAACCAGCACCTTGTGGCAATATAAAGGCAATAAAGATTCGAAATTTATATCTAAACTTGTTTATACAGAAATTTAAAATAATTAGAAAACAAAAAATTTACAAAATTTAGCAGCAGCTGTTGCTATTAAATGCATGTTGGAATGCGTATATGCACGTAGGTATGTATGTATGATATTTGAAAGAAATTTTTGCTGAATTCCTTTGCAAATATAGTGCGTTAAATAAGACCCAAAGAACAACTTAAAATAAGAGTCCGAATGTAGTAATTTATGAGGCCGATAAGAGCCTCAAAAAGAGTCTGAAATGATTCATATATGAGGCCAAAAATGGTTTTAAAAGAGTCCAAAATGAGCCAATAAGAGTTCAATATGACTCATATTGAGGTTATTTGATGTATGAATTTAAGCTCATATAAGTCAACCTTCGGAGGAACGGAAACACCCTCATATCGGTCTCTTAAATGAGCTCATTATGAGCGTAAAGGCTCCGAAATAGGACTCCTTAAAGACTCATTTATGAAATGTTTGCTGGGGAAGCACGCCGGGTATTTGCTTGTTAGTTATATTTATATGGTTTTGAACGAAAGCTATCAATTACACTATACGGCAAAATCAACTTTTTTTCTGAGTATTGGACCAAACCAATTTGTTTGAAGAGATTAACTCATAAGCAAAAAAGTAATTTCTCCGTTTATCGAAGTTATCCTCCCCACAGAATTTGTTTTGTTAACTTTTGATTTTGAAATTTTAGCAAAAGTCATTATAAACAATTAATGACATTAAAAACGAAAAACGTGGAGCGCATGCAGTACAAAGCATTCTATCTCATTGACAATAGTCAAACTACATAACATTCTACAGCGAAAGTACAAATTTGAGATCGATTTTAAGCGGTCGTTATTCATATGCCCACATACATACATATGTTACTTTTCATAACAATTCAAGTGTAATACATGCGCCCCACGCTTTTCATTTTCAATGTCATTAATTGTTTAATGACTTTTGCTAAAATTTCAAAATCAAAAGTTATCAAAACAAATTCTGTGGGACTAAGAAATAATCTACTTTTTAGTCCTTTTGTAAAAGCGTTGTATGTATATTAAAAAGTTTATTTTATTTTATTTATTTTCTACTTTTTAGTCTTGTCTGTACAAAATTTTGCAATAGATATTAAAATAATTCAACTTGCTGTGAAAGAGAACAGAAGACTATGCAAGCACAATGTTGTTTGCTCACATTTAGTATAAACACACATATGTACATACATACATATAGCAGCAGTTTATTTCATTTAAAGAAATGTCGTGTCGTCCATTTCCGCTGTGACGTATATAAATAGTGCATATATTTAGGCGCAATATTTAACTTCTTCTGGCGGGGCGACATCTATAGTCTTCTAATTGTATCTCCTTGATATGATGCCTACAACGAGGTTGATATCTAGACTAGGTCGATATCTAGAATTTTCCATAAATAGCTTTGCTACATTTATAGTAGGTGCATTCTTTTGCAACCGAGCTACAAAAGAACTTTGAAAGGTAGAGTAAAATAAATTATAGATCGATTTTAAGCGGTCGTTATTAATATACCCACATACATACATATATTACTCTTCAATTTCAAATCAGGCCTATTACATGCGCCCTTCCTTTTCATTTTCAATCTCATAAATTGTTTATAATGACTTGCTAAAATTTCAAAATCAAAAGTTATCAAAACAAGTTCTATGGGACTGAGAAATAATATTTTCTAATTTAGTCCATTTATAAAAGCGTGGTACATTAAAAAGTTTTTTTTTTAATTTATTTTATACTTTTTAGTCTTGTCTGTATAAAATTCTGTAATAGATACTAAAATAATTCAACTTGCAGTGAAAAGAGAACAGAAGACTATGCAAGCAAAATGTTGTTTGCTCACATTTAGTATATGCCTACATATATACATACATACATATAGCAGCAATTAATTTCATTTAAAGAAATGGCGTATCGCCATTTCCGCTGTAGCGTATGTAGTGCATATTTTTAACTTCTTCTGGCGAGGCGACATCTATCTCTAGAGTTTTTCTAATTGTATGTCTTTGATATGATACCTAGGACGAGGTTGATATCTAGACTAGGTTTGCCATAACTACCTTTGCTATATTTATAGTATAAAATGGTGGTCTGGACATACAACATTGCAAGTTGATAAAAGCGTTGTAAAAAAGGGATAAAGATTTTTCTAGGCATATTCTTGTAGGGCATTAAATTCTCTAAAAAATTACCCTGAAGTTGGCTGTCTTAGAGACGATTAAAAGTATTAAATATGTTAATATATTGCTGAATGAGGTATAGCGTTGATAAAAAATTATAATCGAACATTGGCGAAAGACGAAGAACGAAAGCAATTTCTTTTGCAAGTAATACAATTAAATAATTTAAAAAGTAATTTTTAATCAAAAAACACAACCGACTTCAATTGTCATATACAAAATTTAGGAGTACCGTTAATTTTTTCATGAACCAATGATCGGATCTAAACCAAATTAGTATGGGACCACATGTGAGCCACTACCTTTCCGACAGAAAAATAATTATCGAAATCCGTGGAGGTGGTCGAATGTATGCGGTAACATACCAAAAAATATGTATATAATCCGACGAATTGATAACCTTCTTTTTTAAGTCGGTTAAAAATAAATATTCAAAATTTGTTAATATGTCGCGGTCTTATAATTATGCAACGCAGTGTACTATTAGCTTGTTTGAGTTGTGTTTAGAGAAACTTTGAATTGTTAATTTATTCGTTATTTATGTGTTAAAATGAATATACAAAATTTTTTGTGTTTCAATGTGGAGAATTTATCCGCTTCAACTTTGTTGAGTCGATTTTTATTCTTTAAATTGGTTAATTACTTGGTATAAGAGCAGAATACGTATATTTCTCTGGTTAAAAAAATTTATATTTGGATCGATAGGGGTGTTAGTCCTGATCATAACGGTATTGTTTTTTTGAGGTGGAAATATCAATTACTGGTGTTATTGAAGGTCGAAGAATAAATTTCTCAATTTATTTTAATTGAAATANAAAAAAAAACATTTCACACACACGTGTAGTCAAGTGTCTACACATTATTTTAACACCTACTTTTGTAATATTTGGCCACTAATTTATTTAGAAAATCCGTTTTAAATATGTCCTTCTTTGTAAAATTCGTAAATTAGCGTCACTTCTATTCTCCTTAAAGCAGCCACTTCACCAATACATTTTTATATTCCCCTTCACTTTACACTTTATTCGATTAGTTATAACTTTCTCTATTACTTTAACTTTAACCAAATAATCACAATTTATTAAATAAAAACACCTTTAAAATCACGCGTGCCCTTGGTTGCATATGCAAATTAAATGGCGGCGTTCAGCTGTCAAACTCCAAAATATACAAGAAGGATGTGAGACAAAAGAAAATAAGATATAACCCAGTAAGCATTAAAAATATAAACCTTTTCATGGAAAATATGTGTTCTCTGCAAAAGTGTTC